GCAACCGACCTGTTCTAATAATTCCTCAGCAGACATACAGACATAAGAGTTTAATTACAAAGCGAAAAATTCAACAGGGTGAAACATTCAATTTAATCCAAGTTTCAGCAAGATTGACACATCTACCAGCCTTTTAGACAGACCAAATATGTTTTTGCAGGCTTGTTTTAAACTGAACTTTCAGTAGCAACCATCCAATTGGTAAGACAAGTGCCAGATACTATCAGATGTCTTCTGCAGATATGTGATAGAAATGGGATGGCATATAGGAAGGGTAATATAGATTTTGGGGGAAAGACCGCTGAAAAGCTGTACCTTTGGAACTTAAAAGCGAGGCACAGTGCTGTCGGAACATGATGCAAGGGGTGTTTGAAATAATTTATTCTTTTTTAAAAAAATTTGAGCAGCATTAACCATATGGCACATTGCTGTACACCTGTCAGAGTATGCAGTATCTATAAAACAAGTATTTGCATCATAATGCCACTTCCCCAGTTAAAGTCATAAGCTCTGTTCCGACAGTGTTCATGTGCAGCAGCCAAGCTCTGAATAGTTGATCCATAATTCAACAGGGCAGGGAGACTGAGGACCTAAATACACAATATGCATGACATGTCTGGTCACAGGTGTCTGACTTGATATAGTCACACCTGTGAACAGGGAAACTAACCTTCAAAGAGTTCCATCGCTCTGTTCAGCTCAGGAACACTGGGGGGAGGGGCTTCAGGCTTCCCTCCTGTGCTCTTTTCACTAGCGGGAATGGCCTCAGCTCCATGGAAGGGTTAAACAGCCTCCTCGCAGCTATTTCTGCTGGCAAAAACAGTGCAGAAGGGAAGCCTGTAGTCCCTTCACAGTTCTCTTAAACTGAACATAGCAACATAAGAACATAAGAGATGCCAATGTTGGATCAGGCCAAAGGCCCATCCAGTCCAACACTCTGTAGCACACAGTGGCCAGAAATACCAGGTGCCATCAGGAGGTCCACCAGTGGGGCCAGGACATTAGAAGCCCTCCCACTGTTGACCCCCCCCCCAAGCACCAAGATGACAGAGCATCACTTGCCCCAGAGTCCCTATCTATACCTTGTGGCTAATAGCCACTGATGGACCTCTGCTCCATATGCTTATCTAATTCCCTTTTGAAGCCGTCCATGCTTGTAGCTGCCACCACTTCCTGTGGCAGTGAATTCCATGTGTTAATCACTCTTTGGGTGAAGAAGGACTTCCTCTTATCCGTTCTAACCCGACCGCTCAGCAATTTCATGGAGTGCCCACGAGTTCTTGTATTGTGAGAAAGGGAGAAAAGTACCTCTTTCTCTACCTGCTCTTTCCCATGCATAATCTTATAAACCTCAATCATGTCACCCCTCAGTCGTCATTTCTCCAAGCTAAAGAGCCCTAAGCGCCTTAACCTTTCCTCATAGGGAAAGTGTTCCAACCCCTTTATCATTCGAGTTGTCCTTTTCTGCACTTTTTCCAAAGCTATAATATCCTTTTTAAGGTGTGGTGACCAGAATTGCACAGAATGCTTTGAAGGTGAGTTCCCCCCATCATATGTATGAATACAGGTAGGTTTGGGCATAACGTTGCCAGCTCTGAGTTGAGAAATACCTGGAGATTTTGAGGGTGGAGCCTGAGGAGGGCGGGGTTTAGGGAGGGGAAGGACTCCAATGGGGTAGAATGCCATAGAGTCCACATTCCAAGGCAGCCATCTTCTCCAGGTGAAATGATCTCTGTTGCCTGGAGCTCAGTTGTAATCCCAGGAGATCTTCAGCAACCACCTGAAGGGAGGCAACTCTAGCTAGGCACCCATGACCTGACTCGTGTCACATATATCCAGTGAGAATCCAACACATTGCTCAGCATCCCGAACAATTGATGGGAGGTATTTAGAACAAGGCATGCAGCCTCTGTTAAGGAGCCACAGTATGTCACAGTTCAGAACAAGAGTTCAGCAAAGATCTCATAAAAGACAGCATGTTTACGTAACTGGAACTATACAATTTAAATGTGTTGATTTATAATCCATTTCCACAGCCCAAGCACTGGTTGTTGCAAATATTAGCACGTGGCACTCACGAGGTTCCCTACTAAGTAATAAATATATACAGGAGAATGCTGTGATCATTTTAGTGCACTGGCATACATCTGCACGTGGTTCATATTACTGGCAACTGTTCACCACTACCCTTTCTGTAAAGGGTCTCTAAGTAGCCCTTATTTGTTGTTCAGTTGCACAGTCGAGTCTGACTCTTCGTGACCCCATGGACCACATCACACCAGGCCCTCCTGTCTTCTGTTGTGCTCCGGAGTTTGCTTAATTTAATGTCCGTTGCCTCGATAACACTGTCTAACCATCTCATCCTTTGCCGTCCCCTTCTTCTTTGATCTTCAATCTTTCCCAGCATCAGGGTCTTCTCCAGTGAGTGCTCCCTGCTCATTTGGTGGTCATAGTATTGGAGCTTCAGCTTCAGTATCTGGCCTTCCAGGGAACAGTCAGGGTTGATTTCTTTTAGGATTGACTGATTTGATCTCCTTGCAGTCCAAGGGCTCTCAAGAGTCTTCTCCAGCACCATAATTCAAAAGAATCTATTCTTCGTTGCTTGCCCTTCCTTATAGTAGCCCTTTATCCCCCTACAATTTTTTTTGCCTGTCATTTCATTCACAAATGAGTTATTCCAGGATCCTACCTGTTCCTCTTATATCCATAAACATTTCGTTTTCTTAGACTTTGTGTGGAACCCCATTTGTCTCTAGAGCCATAAATTGCAGATGCTTGATTTAGATTATCTAAAACTGGAGCATAGCCAGAAGCTGGAGCATGCTGAAGAACCATGTGCGCAACCACAATTTTTATGCATAATGTCCTATCCTGCTGCCCTGACCTGGATGGCCCAGCCTAGCCCAATCTCATCAGACCTCAGAAGCTATGCAGGGCCAGCCCTGGATGGGAGACCACCAAGGAAGGAAGTCCAGGGTTGTTCCTCAGAGGCAGGTCATGGCAAACCAACTTTGTTGGTCTCTTGCCTTGGAAATCCTATGGGGTCACCAAAGGTTTGCTGTGACTTTAGGGCACTCTCCATACCCCTTTCCAGCTAGGGATATATATCTGGGAACAGCTATTTTGGATAGCCGACACTGGACTCTGATCTGTATTGGGCTGATAAAATACCTGAAAAATACCGATAAGGTATTTTTGGGGATATTTTTTTCGGCTCGGATACAGCCGAATGCACATCCCTAGTTGGGGGAATTGCATGCCCTAGTTCAAGGGCTTCCCATACATGGCTATTGCAAGCAAGATGGTACTGAACAGAATGGACCATTGCACGGTTCTAAGCCTGCTTCCATGATCGTATGGCCTAATCCATATAACTAAAGTAAAGGTAAAGGTGGCCAGCATGACTAAACACCAAGGCACACAGAACGCTGTTACCTTCCCACCGAAGTGGTACCTATTTATCTACTTGCAATGTCTTGCTTTCGAACTGCTAGGTTGGCAGGAGCTGGAACTAGAGACGGGAGCTCACTCCATCATGCGGCACCCGGGTCTCGAACTGCTGAACTACCGACCTTCCTAGCCTGCAGTTCAGCGTCTTAACCACTTGAGCCACCGCAGCTCCCAATCCATATAACCAGACTGGGGCAATAATGTAAAGCATAGAATCCGATGTCTCCATGAGCTGAATATGCCAGTCAGAGTTGCCATTATCATGTACTGATGCTGTTAGAAATTATTTTATTGATGTTATTATGATTCTTTCATTGATTACATAAGGGTTCCCCAACGTGGTGCCCATGGGCACCACAGCACCCACCAGTACTTCCCTTGGCTCCCACTGAGCTTCTCAGAAAGTGGATGGGACTATTGTAAGGCAGGGCTTGTTATTGGATGCCCTCATTCAAATGGAAGAATTTTCCACTGGAAGATCAGGAGAACCAGTAAGCAAATAGGTTTTCCTTAGTCAGTGTTTGGTTCCATTCTCCTTTCGGGAGCTCCTGGTTGCCGCCAAAGGCATGGTGGCTGGGGGCTGGTTTGCCGCCACGGAGGAGGGCGTGGCGGCAACAGTGCCGCAGCGCTGAGCGCTGGGGCATGGGCGGGGAGGAGCCAGCCTAGTTAGGCTCGGCTCCGCTCCCGCCCAGGCAGTTGCTGCCTACCTTACACTGGGGCAGTGGAACAACGGGTTGGGGTGTGGCTGTTAAATAGGTTGGTCACTTTGGCAGAATAGTGCAGGGATAAGGAAGCGGAAATGGTGAGCACCTTAAGACGTTCCTTGTTTTGGGAACCGGGGGGTCTTCAGGAACGGCCTGTGGGTTATTAAGGCCCTGGGCGGTGAATGATGATTTCCTCTGGGAACCTCTTGGGTAAGCTCCTCTCTGCAAGCTGTATGGTTTCAGGGGTAGGCGCTCCTGGGAGGCTACCAGTGGCTAGGCTGCTGGTCGCAAGCCAGATTAATGGCTCAAGACCAGGGTTGGTGGCTCGCCCACATATTAGACAAGGAGGCTGGTCAGCCTGACACCTGCCTTATCTGTTCCGCTACTTAGGAAATGCTGCCTTGCCGTTTTGTGGTTAATAAACTGTATATAGTTAATAAAGTGGCCCTTGTTTGATCCAAACTGTTGTCCGTCTCGTTACTCCGACTGGGGGGGCAAAGGCTTTCCTTCTTCCCAGGAGGTATAAGGGGACTGTTGTTTGTCTCCACCTCCTGCAGAAGCCAATTTGGGTTTGGCTCCACCTCTTGCGGAGGCTGGTTTTGGGGTGACATTCACCATTCCCTCTCAAAATCCCAAATGTGCCTGTGGGATTATATTGTTGTTCCTAGCTATGGAAGTAATTTTTTTTAAGGAAAGGCAGTTACAAAATGCAGGCATTTCCAATAAGTAAAGCTCAGTGTCTGGTTCAATAAAGTCAGTTCTGGCTTTAGAGAGAACGGTTTGCTTATAATATTTCTATGATTTTTTTTAAAAAAGGTGTTTTTTGTTTTCTTTCTTTTTTTGCAGAAAAGGGCTATTTGCTGGAATAAAGCTGAAGAAGAAGAAAAAAGGAGACAAGGGGTTAACGATTGCAAACAAAGGAGCCGTGGGTAAGACCTACTAGATCAATATTACACCAAACAAAGAGCAAGCATAATATGTCATTAGTCCTAACGTCACAGGGCAATTCCTTCAGTTGAACCTCAGATAAAGTGTGTTATACATAATTGCCCAGAACCATCAGCCTAGATTTGTGTTTCCAGATGGAAGGCTTTTCAAGGGTCAGGTGCCTTGGGTTAGCTTGCCTTAGATATTCATGCCATGGAATGGGCCTTAAAAATGCATCCATTGCTGTGTATCTTAACACTCTGACCAACAAAAGCTGAAGCTTTCCTCTGATGGAAGTGTCTGTGGAAAGCTACTTAAGCTAGAGGAAGGTTTTCAGATGTTGCTGAGGGATGCTCAGCAATAATACTTGGCTATTTAAAGTTTTCAGCCTCAGGCCCAGTTGTCAGGACCCACAGCTAAGCAACGAAGTACACGCTTCCAGGAAGGTTTTACTTTTATTGAAAAGCCATAGATGCGATAACATGAACACTGTTAGGAATGGCGGGATACCTATGCGCATAATAGGATATAGGGCATTCGTATGCGCTCCCCCCCAGCAATAACCAATTAGGTGTGCTCCCTCGCGCGGGATACTGTTGGTCTCTCTAACGGTTGCAAAGCTGGGAACGGAGAAGCTCCCACGGATGATAGACACCACATTCTCCACCAGTACGACATCAAAGATAAGCGTTACAGCTCTGAAGCAATTAAGCGCATGGGAAGGAATGCAAAGCAATTAGAAAACATCTCCATACTCATGGCAGCATAGCTGACACCAGTGCACAGAGATACAGCACTGGTGATGAGGATGGAATGCCAAGTTATGGGCACTGCCAAAACGTCTTAGGAGGGTTTTGCACCAAAGAGAAGCAAATGTTCTCTATTTCATTTCTTTTTATATTTGCTTGTACTTTTGTCAAACGGTGTCAGTCACCCCCATGTTGTTGGTTTGCTTATATTTTGGAATACGTTATATGGGTTGTATGTGCAATTATGTACATACGGAAATGCCATCAAGTTGCAACCAACTTATGGTTACTCCAGCAAGGAGCTTTCAAGGCAAGTGAGAAGCAGAGGTGGTTTACCAGTGCCTTCCTCTGCAGAGCCTACCGTGGTAATCCCTGCTTAGCTTGCGAGAACTGGTGAGATCAGGCTGCATTATGCTGGTTCCCCTCTCTATATGCAATTATAGGATATTTATACCTGCAGTAGGAGCTGCAGTGGCTCAAGTGGTTAAGATGCTGAACTGCAGGCTGTGGAAGGTCGGTAGTTCAGCAGTTCAAGACCCGGGTGCTGCATGACGGAGTGAGCTCCCGTCTCTAGTTCCAGCTCCTGCCAACCTAGCAGTTCGAAAGCAAGAAATTGGAAGTAGATAAATAGGTACCACTTCGGTGGGAAGGAAACAGCGTTCCGTGTGCCTTGGTGTCTAGTCATGCCAGCCACATGACCACGGAAATGTCTTCGGACAGCGCTGGCTCTTTGGCTTTGAAACGGAGATGAGCACCGCAACCCTAGAGTTGGATTCGACTGGCTTTCGAGCAAGGGAACCTTTACCTTTACTTTATACCTGCGGTGGATATCATGTATAAATAATATCACAATATAATGCTGCTCTATATGCATAAAAATAACATTGAAACATGTACATTTTACAGGAGAAACTCCATGTGAGGCAATGAACAAAGTTATAAAAAATACAGAAACACAGGTTCAATTTGCACAAGGGAGAAATGAAATTCAAACAGGGATCTTCAGGTCAAACAGCAGGGATGAGAAATTCAAAATCATCTCTTTTTTTATGCTATACTTGTGGCTGGCAAGCCAGTAATCGGTCATCTTCAGCCCTTTCATACGTGGCACCCATTTAGCACAGTTCCCACTGAGAGGCAACCACATGCCAGGAAGTCACATGCTATTGCGGTCACGTTACAGGAAGAGGGGATTATGATCTCACCCGTGTCATGGCCAGGACCATGGACAGCAGAACAAGAGATCTAGTGACAGGAAATCAAGCCAAGCACATGAGGTGTACCATATTTAAGAAAAGGCAGGAGTCATCCCTTTGCCATCCTACTGCCTCTCTTTGTATGCATACAAAGAGAGACAAGAGTCATGGCACCTTTGCTGTCCATACAATTTTATTTATTTATTTATTTTTATTTATCCTTGAATTTATATCCCGCCCTACCCCGAAGGCTCAGGGCGGCTGACAAGGCACAATGTGCCAAGATTATAACAATAAAACGCATAGTATAAAACAATAAAATCCAATAACAAATTTACAATACAAATTTAAACAAAGATGGGTAGATCTTAAACCCAGCGGTAGCTTCCTGAAATCTATCATCCACTTCGTGCCAGGGGCGCCTCGCCCCCCAGTGGGATCCAGACAATTGTGGTAATAGTACGATGGTGCATAGAAGGCAATGGTGGAATAGTAGTGGCGGCGGCTCCTACTCAAAGGCCTGGCGGAAGAGCTCCGTCTTGCAGGCCCTGCGGAACTGAGAAAGGTCCCGCAGGGCCCGGATCTCCTCCGGGAGCTCCTTCCACCAGGTAGGAGCTGCCACCGAAAATGCCCTGGTCCTGGTTGCCACAAATTTAACATCTCTGGGGCCTGGAATTTCCAGGAGATGACAACTCCCCAACCGTAGTGCCCTTGGGGTAACATATGGAGAAAGCTCCTTCCACGCAATAAGCTCTGTGACCCCATACGAAGGGCTCCATAACCCAACTAAGGGTCCCGACCCATAAACTGAAGACTACTGTGCTAGGTTCTTCACTTACAGATGACAAGTTCATTTCCCCCCTCCATTAACTAGGTGATCAGGATGACACTGACAGCCTGAATCAAGAGATTCCTATTGGTCAAGAAGGGGAAGACGGAGAAATTACATATGATGATGCGGCCTCTACCAGTAGCTTTGGTGCCTCAGGGTCTTGGAAGAAGAGGTATTGTTCCGCTGAAGCACAAAATAGCTCCTAGTATGGGTGGCTGTAGTGTTGCTGTTGATGCAGCCGATGGTAGAAAATGAATATACTTGAAAGAACTTGTCTCTTAGAAGTCATTGTTCTTATCCACGCTGCAGGGGGATGTACTTATCAGCAAAGTATTGTCAGAAAAGGAAGAAGAAAAAAACTGTCACCAGAAATAAGTCTAAGGTAGAGGAGAGTTATGGAAGGAGAACTAGGAATAAGCACAGCTGCACTGCATGGCGTGGAGGATGGACAGGATGTCACGGGGGGGGGGGAAAGAAATTAATGAATTTGTCAGACTTCATCAGTGTCAGTGGAAGGGCAGCTGCTGACTTAAATCACTTTTATCGCTGTGGCTGTAAAATCAGCGTAGCGATATTTCTTATATGTCAGAGACAGACAGTGCTATAAAGTGAAGTTAGACACATATCGAGATAATAAGCAGGGATTCACAGCAATCCCCCCCCCCTTTCGGGCTGGATGACGCAACTCTAAGGACCAACTAATATGTGACAGTCTTAGTCCAGCACTTTAAGCGTGTGGGGCCTTGGTTCCCACTGACACCTTTCCTGGCATCTCGCAAGTCTTTTTAGAAAAGCAGGTGGGGCCAGGTAGGGGTGTGCCCTGTGGGGCTTCTGATTAGCCGCTGGATATTTGATTGGCTGTGTAGCTATTGCTTTGTCAGCAGCTGCCACCACAGCACAAGGATCTTCATTGTGTGACTGAGTGAAATTTTGCAGCTGGTCCTGCCTCCGGAGGCAGCCATTTTGTGCCTACATTCCCTCCCTCTGTTTAAACTACCTCATAAAGTTACCCTGTCTAAACTCCCTCACAACAAGGCTACTGTGAAGATGTAATTGAGAGAACTGTGTGTCCTACTCTGAGCTTCCTGGAGGAGCAGTGGGATTAAAAACTTAACTCTCCTGTTGAAAAACAGTTTCCAAACAGAAACAGAATACCTCCATATAGATGTATATATCAGTGTGTATCGGTGAGAGAAAATAGATAAGCTTGTGTACCACCACCACCACCCTAGTCCTTGCCAAAAGGAAGTACTGAAAGGAGGTCTGACCAGAAAACAGAGGTGAGGTAGGTGGTCACCAGGGACAGACCTTTTTGAGTGGTGACACCGTTTACCTATGGGATTTTCTTCCCCTTGAGGCTTGCCTGGTGCCCGTCCTACTCTCTTGTAGGACCAGACCAAAACGTTTCTTTTTACTCAGGCTTCTAATTAAAGGTAGAGTTGCCAGCAGCCTAGATGTGGGATCTTATTTATCAGGTGATGTACTTTTACCTCCATGCCGTGAAAAGCTTCAGCAGCCCATTTCCACACATTTACCCATAAGGCAGATTAGACAGGCCCAAATGAAGCCACCTTTGACTGAGCCCATTTAGGGCTGTGTGTTCTTCCTTACGTTAGATCTTCGGAGTCTCAGGAAGAAGTCTTACCTAGCCCTTCAGACCTTTTTGGGGACATAACCCGAGACCTTTATACATGCATTGCAACGCATCTCTTCTGCCATTGAATTATGGGCCCTTCACTGTCCCTTATCTGTCCCCTGGGTGAACTTTTATCTCTGGTGATAGTATACTACAATTTTAACTGTTACTGAAAGCAGTAGGGAAATATGCTAAGCTAAGTCACACTGTAAAAAAAGCTACCTCTTCTTGAACGCTGATGCATGTCCTTGTGTTCTGAACCATAAACAGAGCAAAAGTGGTGTCGAAGATCCATGAAGGGGAGCCAAAATCCCAGAGTTATCAGGTAAAGTACAAACCACTGGTCAGTGTTATATTGGTTGGGTGCTATCAAGTCCGATGGGGAACTGCATGCCATATGAGCCCATGTGCCCAGTTACGTCTGGCAGGGATGCCAGCTTCCGGGTGGGACCTGTTGATCCCCAAGAATTACAGCTCATCTCTAGACTACAGGTATGTAGTTCCCTTGGAGAAAATTGATGGTTTGGGTTAGTGTTCCCTCTAAGCTGAGTTAGTGTGAGCTGGCTCACAGTTTTTTAGCCTCCGGCTCACACGTTTTTGTCTTACCTCAGGAAGGATGGCTCCAGAGCAAACTAATTTATGCAGTAGCCAAATAACTTGCTCACAATTCTAATGCCAGTAGCTCACAAAGTGGAATTTTTGCTCAAAGGACTCCACAGCTTAGAGGGAACATTGGCTTTGGGTGTGTGTGGATTGTGCGGCATTGTACACCAGTGAGGTCCCTGTGCTCCCCAGGCTCCACCCCCAAATCTCCAGGAGTTTTCCAACCTGGATCTAGATCAAGATGGGTAGTTGTGTTAGTCTGTCTGTAGCAGTAGAAAAGAGTAAGAGTCCAGTAGCACCTTAAAGATTAACAAAATTTGCTGTAGGGTGTGAGCTTTCATGAGTCACTGCTCACTTCTTCAGATACACAGTACCTGAAGTGAGCAGTGACTCACGAAAGTGAGCAGTGACTCACGAAAGCTCCTCCCCTTCCACAAATTTTGTTAGTCTTGAAGGTGGAGGAGAGGAGGAGAGGAGATTGGATTTATACCCCACCCTTCGATAGGGATGTACAAATATTCTCTTCCTTGTTTTTGTTTCTGTTTATATATTATCATTGGAAGTCTTTTTGTTTTAACCAGTTTTATTGCTGACTCATGTGTTTCTTGAACACACAGGCGAGCCTGCTTTATAGCGACTCAGAACAGACTGGCTGACAGGGTCTCAGGCAAAAAGATCTTTTGTATGAGTTGCTAGTTGATGGCAGGGATTGAACTTGGGACCTTTTGCATGCAGACAGGTGCTCTGGCCATGAGCCGAGGCCCTCTTATACATCCTTACACTTTTTTTTGTCTTTGCCATCGAGCTACAGCTGATAAATGGCGACCCTGTGGATTTTCAGGGCAAAAAAATGTTCAGAGGTGGTTTGCCATTGCCTGCCTCTGCATAATGACCCTGGTATTCCTTGGTGGTCTCCCATCCAAATGCTAACCAGGGCTGACCCTGCTTAGCTTCCAAGATGTGACAACATTGGGCTATCCCAGGCTATCCAGGTCAAGGCTTTGATGCTATACTGATGCTTTAATGCATTTTTTACAAAGTATGCAATTTTGTGTCTTTTTAAAATGCTATTTACAGACACCTGCTGCAAAAAGGGGTGTCAATATTAACATATTTTTAGATAATTTAGTAAGTATGGTTGGGGGCAAAATGGCTTCAGACGAACCAATGGCAAGATCTGAAATTTTCTTACCGAAATCTGCAAAATTCGATAACATTCCTGCATTTCAGTATTTATTTATTTAAAACATTTCTATGTCACCTCTCCACATAAATAGGGTCCCTGAGGTGGTATCTATTTATTTATGTAAAACAGTGCTGTGGAAATGTAGTACCAAAAGATGTGCAAAAGTTGTTTTCCTTCCTGGCCATTCCCAGGGCCTATCAAACTGGCTTATTTTTGCAGGGCCTCTGCTAAGTAATCTGTTTTGATTGCTGTTTTTTCTTATCCCTGGGCAACTAGGTTGACAGCTGGTTCTTAGATTAATTGTACTTCCATGTTTTTTTATTTAATTGGATTTTTATGCCTTTGGACTGATCTTCTGAAAAGCTGCCTTGAACTTCAGATAATATGACAAATAAATGGTCGAACAAACAGGCGGTGAAATAAATGTGCTGTGCTTCACCCCAACAGATTGCCATAACCATCATTGAAGCTCGGCAGCTCGTGGGCGAAAACATCGATCCAGTGGTGATTATAGAGATAGGGGATGAAAAGAAGCAGACGACAGTCAAGGAGGGAACCAATTCACCCTTCTACAATGAAGTATGTGCTTTTCTACTTCCTGCAACGTCCTTATCTTCCGCAGCAAAATTAGGGAAGCTGCAAAACTGATGTACCAGCTTAGTGTGTTTTCTATTTTAAAGCAGAAATAAATATGATTTTAAAATCATTTGATCCCCTGTTTGCATTTCATTTTTTTAATAAAAATCTACCCTCAAAGGGTAGAATTTTATTTGTTTTTTCATAAGAGCCAAACCAAACATACACACATATAACACAAATGGGGGTATCAAATGCTTAAGTTTCTAAGAATTGCCTCTTAGATATTCTCTATCTAGTACAATATCACGTATCATTATTTTCTATGAGCTCACATTTTTATATCTTAAAACTAACATCTGTACCTGCTATCTCAATGTTCTAACCTATACTTTGCTCTAGGGATTACATTTTTAGGTTACAATAATTTGCGCTATTATACCAATTATAGAAGCGTCTCCATGTGTTCTGGAATGTATAGTTTGTGGATCCTCTTATCAACAATGTCAATTTATCACTTTCTGCTGTTTCCATCAGTTTTTGTTTATATTCCTGCTTTTTTGGTACATCTTGTGCCTTCCAGTATTTGGCATATAGCATTATTGCCACTGTAGTGAAGTAGATTATTAAATATCTGTTGCTTTTTTCAAAGTCTTTAGGTAGTATACTCAGTAAATGGAATTGTACATTCCAATATCTTCTGCATTATTGCATGAATCCATCTCCAGTATCTCTTAGTTACATCACAATGCCACCACATATGATAAAAGGATCCTGTACTAGATAAACACTTCCAGCATTTGTTAGAACACTTACTATTCCCTTTAGCTATTCTATCAGGTGTTATATACCATCTGTAAAGCATCTTATACATATTCTCTTTAAATGCAGTAGCTTTCGTTATCTTAATGTTTTCTTTCCATATTTGTTCCCATTGTTCTAATTCAATATTATGGCTTACATTCTGTGCCCATAAGATCATATTAGTTTTAACAGTCTCATCATACATCATATCATTAAGTAAAAAGACATAAGTTCTTTTAATCAGCTGGTAGGCTTGTCATTGCTTGCCTATGGTGGATGGACACTCACCCCCAATTCCTGCCTTCAAGAAATTGAGGAGGGCTTGTTAATGTAAATCTCATAACTTGTTAACAAACTTCAATGGTAAAATAATCATAATACACTAACTTTATATTTTTCAATTTTTCTCTCCCTCTCAGTATTTTGTGTTTGACTTCCTTGGGCCTCAAGTACATCTGTTTGACAAAATCATCAAAATTTCTGTGAGTATACGCATCTGAATGTGGGAGCAATGAATGGTGATATTTACATTGTAAGGTGGTCTTGTCAGATCTCAAAACCTCAGTAGGGTCAGCCCTGGTTAGTACTTGGAAGGGAGACCACCAGGGAAATTCAGGGTTGCTACACAGAGGCAGGCAATGGCAAACCACCTCTGTTTGTCTCTTGCCTTGAAAGCCCTATGGGGTTGCCATAACTTGGCTGCGACTTGTTGGCACTTTCAACCACAGTGCTTTTCAGGAGATGCTGATAAGAAAGAAATGAATGATGGGCATTGAATGCTTTACATAGGCCCTGGTCACATGGGCTGGATATCGTGGGGGGGAGGCGGGGCTGGAGGCGTGGCTGTTTGCCCCGGAGCGAACTACCGCGCGGCCGCCGGATCAAATGTCCCGCCGACGTCCCGTGGTTCGGGGGGAGGTGCCGATCATACGTCAATCCTGCGGCGCGGCAAAGAAGCGGCGCAGTGGGGGTTGTGGTTTTTTTAACCAAAGTGTGCGCATGCGCCGTTGGGTGCTTGTGCGCATCCCGTGGAGACTTGGAAAAAAACCACCCTTTTCGCGACGGGACATGGGCGGGCGCGGGATGCCACGACCGACCACCGGAAACGTGATCAGACGCCTGCCCTTGCCCCGCGGTTTCCGGAAACTAGTACCTCGGAGGTACTAGTTTTTTATGGCGCATCTTCAGCGGGAAGCCTCGGGTTAGCCACGGGAGCTCTACGCTTCCCAGATGTTGCGGTTTGACTGCACCCGGAAAATCTGCCTATCTTCTGTCTCTGTAGCGTGGCTAATGCTCCATGTGACCGCAGCTATGTAGCACTGACATATAGATTCCAGTTAAGTCAACATTCTGTTTCTCCCACTTAGTGCATGGATGACATTGATAATAATGGTTTGTTGTTAGGACATTCCCACACAACTGAAGAAAAACTGGACAGGTGGCTACAATTAGTTTATGTGCTTTGTGTCTCTGCTTTGGTAAGTTATATGCCCCAAATCCCCAAAACACAGCAGTATCCTATGTGTGGGTAGCCCCATTCCATGACCCTACTGATAGGCATGAGACCATGAAGTTCAGTTTTAGAAGGAACAAACTGGAGGCTTGTGTGGAATCACACATGTAAATAAGGATGAAACAAGCTGGAACACACACCAGTGTTTCCTTTAAGATGAGTCAGTGCGAGCTAGCTCACAGTTTTTTAGCCTCTGGCTCACACATTATTGTCTTATCTCAGGAAGGATGGCTCCAGAGTAAACGGATTTATGCAGTAGCCAAATCACTCACTCACAACTTTAATGCCAGTAGCTCACAAAGTAGAATTTTTGCTCACAGGACTCCACAGTTTAGAGGGAGCATTGCCCCCACACACACACCTACATCTCCCCCTTCAAGGTTCTAGAAGCTCTCAGGAGCTTGAAGAGTTAATTTCTCATCTCTCTCTGTTTCTAACCCCCTGAACCGAGGGCCTAATGATGCATTATGTTTCCTCTGTGTTCTGGGTGCATGTGATCAAACATGTAGTGTGCGTTCTGTGTAGAGAATTTAATCCTTAGCATGTGCAGGCCCAGTATGGATTAGAAGCATGGTGTGCAAGGAATTCTTCCTCACGTGCCATTTTCCTTCCTGAAATGACTCTGTGGAGATGCTTTGCTCCACTGGGGAATGTTATGTGTATTCCATTAGTGTATTTGGAGCCCCCAATAGAGGAAATAGCCAGCCCCCCAGGGCCATTTCAGGTTAGGAAGGCTGCACAGAGGGGAAGACTGAAGCCTATGGTTGCTGGCCCTACAATGGCAAATTCTAGGAGATTTGGGGGGCAGTGCCTGTGGAGGGTAGAGTTTCAGGGGAGTTGATGTCACATCCTCCATTACACTCTAGGAACTTCCCCTATCTCTTTAGTAAAGACCATAGGTACTGGGAAATTTCATGGAAGATGTGACATCACTTCTACTTAGAACTTTGGAGAATATGTTGTCGGTTTTAGGTGATGCTAGGAATACCTCCAATCTGTATGGTCTTTACCCCAGACATTAAATTCCTAGAGCATCACCGTCAGTGCTATTTCCCTCCCCCCTTTTTACTCTTCCACTCCTCAAATCATGGGTGGTGGTAGACTGAGCGTGGATGCAGGGGACTGCCCACTGGCAGTGAGCAAGTGGCAACTCAACTGAACCCCCTTCTTGCTATGCACTTCCGTCCCAATCTGAATCTGACCGCTTGTTCCTGGGATTAAGTTCCCAGCATGGAAATCAAAATATGTGTTCAGTCATACAGACCTGGGGAGGACCCAGGGAAAAACATAACATGTAATTAGGCTCTTGATTCGCTGCAACTCTTACCATTCCAGTGCCTGCAGATGGATGCTGAACCCTCATCTAATCATTCTGGGGTGACTTTGTATCTTTTTTTTTTTTTAGCTGGAAACCAATGCTTTATTTAGGATTGTGCGTATCTGATCTTCCATTAACAAAGCAAGATCCAATAACATTTGTAGACTCATTATCTAAATCAAATCTATACCATCTAACAGAATATAAGTAAAATATGAGTATTTTTAAGCTGCTTTGGATCCCCATTGGGGATCAAAGTGGCTTATAAATTATATAAATAAAAATAAATAATATAGGTTATGTAGGCAACAATCCTAAGCAAGTCTTCTCAGAAGTAAGCCCCATTTTATTAATTGGGACTTACTCCCAGGAAATGCTCTTAGGATTGTAGCCGTAATTTCCTCCAAAACTTCCACCTTCCAACGCAACATTATCCCCATCTTGTCTGGGTTCAGCTGAGGCTTACATGCCTAGTGAACACAGACCCGAACCCAATTTTTCGACACACTGGTCTGGCACACAGTTCTTCAATTCCAGTGGCTTGTTCAAAGTATCTTTTCCTTTTGGTTAATTTACTAAGTCATATTTTTCTGCATACCTGAGGAGCCCTCCTAGTATAAACAGACTCCTACCCTGCCTGAGGATGACCTGGTTTTGATGCTTTTGTGACTGGCATGGGGGCTGCCACTGTAGTAATTAGTCGTGATAAAAAGGCGATGATGATTATAACAGCCCATTACCAGATAGATTCCTCTCATTTGTTTTTCTCTGCTTTATAGTTCATCATTATACCAGAATTTAAGATTAGACACTAAGTGCAAAGCTCGAGAAATTAGGACAGATTCTCAGCAAGCATGAATTTAAATCACGGCTCCTTGAGAAGCCACTGAGGCCCTGGGATTTGCCTTGATGGAGGATCTGTCCTTTGATTGCGGTGGGGAGTTGCAAGGAAGTGGAGCTTTTCAAAGAAATGTTAACCTACTGCAGTGATAATAGTCACTCTTCTGGTAATCAGATTTATTTTAGCTGCCTTACTCCGTTGCTTTTAAAATAAAATGTGTCAACAAAATAAAACAGAGAGAATGAAGAAATATATACATACTCAGCAAGAAGAAATTATATTACCGCAGGCAGGAATCTTTAGTTCTATTACTCTGTAGGTATAGAATAAACGAAGTCCTACAAGGTCATAGCCCAATAATGGTCCGGCTTTTAGGACATGAAGAATAAGATGATCATCACAGGAAAAGACACAGCGAGGTGAAGCAGGCTGAATTTCATATTGGTTTCAAATCGGCAGATGAGCCTTTGAATGAGAGAGGAGACTCTAGTGTTCAGTTCCGTTTTAGTTTGGAGCATACAGTTATTCGAATAGCTAGTTGTGTTCAGAAAACTGCAAGTGTGGTTCATGGACCGTAGAAATGACAGTGAATGGAAGATCTTCCACATTGGAGTGTGCAGTGTAGTTTAGGGAAGAGCTGTGGCTCAGAGGAAGAGCCTCTGCTTCGCATGCAGAAGGTCCCAAGTTCAATCCCTGGCATTTCCAGTTAAAAGGATCAGGTAGTAGGTGATGTGAAAGACCCCTGCCTGGGACACTGGAGAGCTATTGCCAGTCAAAGGTCCTGGTCACACGGGCCG